TTCACGTGTTATACTTATTTGATAATAACACTTAATTAGATAAACAAAATATTCGTCACCAACTTTAGACAAAACATTTTCGCATTTGATATATTTTTTTATAGTGGTGTTTTATCATAGTTTTATATGATTGTTTTCTTTAATTATACAATGATGATGCACCTGGACAAGAGGGCCATACATGTGCATCTCATTTTTATATACTTTGTGTTCCAAATAAACAATTCAACAACGTATATGTACATAATTATGGTAGCCTCATTTCTAATTTGACCGCAAAGTAAAAAAATTAAATCAAAGATTATCCATTTACCTCTCTGCAAAAGCTCTCTATAAACCACTTTCGCGATTCGCCACACTCTCACAACAAATACCAAACAGAGTTTAAAAAAAAAAAAAGTCATGGCAATTTCGTCTTCTTGTTCATCCGTCAAAGCCGTTAACTCACGGTGGACTACTCCATCTCCGTCACCAGTATCAAAACTCGCCGTCTTCCATCGTCACTCTCTGTTACCAAACCTCCGTTACACACCAAACGTCAAACTAACGGTGACTAACGCCTCGAGAACCGTCGAACAAACGACGTTAACGGAGGATCACAAATTCTCCACCGTCGGATCTGATCAAGACGATCCATCGCCGTTTCCAAAGCCGAAGATCCTCGTCGCCGAGAAACTTGGAGAAGCCGGAGTGAATCTCCTCCGAGAATTCGGCGACGTAGACTGCTCTTACGAGCTCTCGCCGGAGGATCTGAAGAAGAAAGTGTCGGAGAGTGACGCTTTGATCGTGAGAAGCGGAACGAAAGTGACGAGAGAAGTGTTTGAGGCGGCGCAGGGGAAGTTGAAAGTGGTCGGAAGAGCCGGAGTTGGGATTGATAACGTGGATCTGCAGGCGGCGACGGAGTACGGTTGTTTGGTGGTTAATGCTCCGACGGCGAATACGGTGGCTGCCGCCGAACATGGGATTGCTTTGCTTACTTCTATGGCACGTAACGTCGCTCAGGCCGACGCTTCCATCAAAGCCGGTATGTTCCACAAAACAAAATTATTCCGATTAGTTTTTTAATTAGATCTAGATTTAAACAATATATATACAAATAAGAGTAATTTTATTTTTTATTATTGCTTTAACAAAAAAAAGAGAGTGGTTTATTGAATGGTTTAAAGATTCTATTCTGATTAATTTATTGAAATTTGTTTGTTCTGGTGGTTGGTTAATCATTAATGTATAGTAATGGTTTACTACACCTATAAATAAATCAATAAAATTTGTTAAAAACATAAAACAGTTTGGCATCAGATCTTGAGCACCGTGGTCCATCTGAATAGTGTGTTTTCGTAATTATTGTTCAATTGAAATTGGAGCACTATAGTGGTAACTGTCGTTTTATAATAGAAAAGTCATATTGATGTTAACAAATGAAGATAGAAAAGTCATATCGGTAGTAAAACTAAACACAAAATTGGTTTACGTAAGTAGAACAAAAATGTCAAACGACTATTCTCATGATACGTATATTTTTTGGTAGAAAGGGGAAAATAACTTTGTACACTTAAAAAAAACATTTTACTCGTAATTCATGAAAATTTGTTGAAATTTTAGAAATAATGATTTTAGAAAAGTTAAAGTGCGATTGAA